TACAATTGAAATTTCCATAGAGCATAACGTTACGTTACTATATATACTACAATACAGTACAATACATTTTAAAATGCAAACAGACAGACAAATATTACAACATAAAACACAGGATTCGATCTCACGATCAAGAATACAGTACAGTACAATACAATACACACGTGGTAGGAGTAACACGTCTCTTTTAAACTTTGTTCACAGTTTATAATTTTGTTCTTTTCTGCGTGATATACTTAACTATTAGAGTTATTTGTTCAATTTTTGACGTCTTTGTTGTCTTTTCACTTTCGATGTGTCGAGCAGTGTGGATGGCAAAGATGGTCGGCATGGTTACTAGTTAGATGTAATAAATAATGCTGCACAGTGTTAAAACTTTGAAGGTGTTTCAGTATACGCATGCGTAGAAGCAGTGTCTGACTCGTAATAAATCAGTGACATCACTATTTTTACGGCTTCTGTATGAACCGAACAGTCATAGTTTTTAGTTCGGCTTGTGATACAGGTCACGTTGAAGGTCAACATATTAATGTGGAGCTTCTGGTACGTTCAATAGTCGATCTTTAGCGTCGCAACCGTTAAAATTGCTTGCTTGGCCAATGTATTTTTATGTCAAATTGGAACACTGAAACTGAGATGAAGAAGTGCTCAAAAACATTAACTTTGCAATAAAACATAAACTCAAGATTTCGCAACATAGTTAACGCTTTTGATTTTTCAAACCTGTATACCATTATACCGCATGATAAATTACAGTTACGAATTAAGAACACATCTATTAAGAATTTTCTTCGAATCTTTACAAATATAAAGTACTAGTAGTCTATCAAATCTACTTTATTAAAATTCTGTAGTAAAGATGACATTATAAATATTGGATATATTCCTGGTGATTCAGAAAAAATGTAATGAGAGTACAGGTCTAATTGACAAAATGGACACATACAAACAAAGTAAAAGTGATTTGAAAAATGAAATCCATGACATAGATAATGATGAGAACAAGACAATTACTTGTACAACGCGTTAAACAAATGAGCACGAGGAGACTGCTATATATGTGTAATCCTCCAAGTGGGAAAAAAATGTGATGCAAATGTATATCACAGCTTAAGCTCTCAGATTATCAATTCAAGTAGGAATACGTAAGTTATATAAGAACATGATATAATTGATGAAAATGCACTTTAGTTTTATGGTGGTCGTATAACCTCGATGAGGACATCAACATTGAAAAGTGAATCTGTAAATCGCCTATAACTTTTAGGTATAACTTTTATTGTGGGATCACGCAATTGGTGTACCGTGCAACCTTGCACATAGTTATTAATAAGAATCAGTGCAATAGTTTATTATGTGTGATTGATGGTGGCGTTCTGCCTTGTCCAGTTCCAGGGCAGTCATTACCCTCTTGTCTGAGAAGGGGATATTTTGCAGTGATTATAAGATCTTAACCAAAAATGATAATGAGTTAAACAATTTCTACTTCCGGGAACACTTTGCACCCAACATGTCCTACAGAGGGCATTATCCCACCGTCAATAACTTGGCCTGTCACAGGTTCACTCCTGTATTCTGATTCCTTCTGACAAAAGCATCACTAGTAGGTTCCTGTCAGAACAATTTCACTTGCCTGACCACATGAAGAAAAAATATCCACAGACAGTGAACATGCGAGTTTTAAATTCCAAAGCAGGGGAGCCCTCTGGGAAAACAGTTAGTATGTACTACAATCAACGTATCCCTACCACACCTTCGTGGCTTTTAATTGCACCCATCTCAGGTGGTGGAAATATATTCATAAAATTTGAATATAAATGCCACAAATCCATGGTTGCTGGAATTACGAAAGTGCAGTACTTGATGCAAAATGCACATTGCACTTTAGTGATTAAAGCGGGAGGATCGTCACCTGCGCACGCGCGGGAATTGAGTCCCAAGCGACGATAACAACACACACTAAAACGCAAAGGCTCATGGGTAGACGCTTGCTTGTAAACAATGACACGCTATGGCCATCTGACGCATGCGCAGGTGACGACTCCTCCCTTTAAGAAAAGGATACGATCTGTGCATATTTAGTGATAGTCCATAATAAAACACAGTGAGGGTGGTCTTTGCCTGTCTGTAAACGTTAAACCAACACTTCATGACTGCAAATCACCAATCTTGAGGGCGACTTACAATAGAGTATTGTTTAAATAATTTCATCGAATCAGATGAAAGTCAAGTTCTCTTGGCAATGAAGTTGAGTCAATTCTTCATATTTTTGAATGTGAAGTGGACATGGGTTTCATCTGTAATTAGAAAACATCACATCACATCTCATCTCATTCGCTCCAACTTGATCTACTCGTGTCACCATGATAGCTTGTCCTATAGCCACATGAGGCGTCGGTCAAATTATATTCGTGTTCATCCATGTGTTATGCAAACCAGTTAATCCCTTATATATTTTCACATATCAGGTAAAGTCAAGGCTGAAGGCTTAATTACACTTTTACTGTTGGCTCAGTTACATATAGGACTACAAAATAAACATAATGAAGCCCTGTTGTGTCGAATTGATAAATATCTGATTTTCTTATTTCTCTTCATATTTTTTCTATATTGTTCTTTGCCGACTCAAACAAGGAAACAGTGGTATGTTTTCGGTTTCTGTTGGCCTTGAATTTGGCCAAGAGGTCGTTGTCTCTTGCCTTCAAGTTGGCCATAAGTAATTCGAATCTAGTGTGTGGGTGTTCGTAAAAAGTTTATAATTGTATTCTGAGGTATCTCATTGTCTGTACTCATCTGTTCTCGAAATATATCCGTTACTACAAAATCACAATAAATTACGGTACTCTAACAACGTAATAGATAATGCATCAGAACGTGTGACATAACTTATTGGCTAGACGTTTTGCAGGTTACTATCACCATTCTTAAATTAGCTTGTGTCAATGATATGTTCTCTTTACCACGAAATGTTTGCGAGTTTATGGCATATACATGAGATGTGGGATACTTTAAGTAGTTAAAATGGTTGATATCTCACAGCGCACTCGATCCGGGTAGTCGTCATATTCTGCGCTATGAGCTATGTTAATTTCCTCCTTTATTTAAAAACCAATAAAGGAAAAAATCGACACTACACACAAATTCTCCATGTAATGAATTTATTCCTGCTTATTTAATTTTAATTTTTAAATATTATTTTATTTTATTTTATTATTATTATCTTTTTGAATTTAACTTTTGTCCGAGCCTGGGCAGGGGTGAACCACCGTTATGTACGGCATAATGTTGGCATCAGCACATTCATACATCATGTATTACCTACGTGTTTTCAAAGAAAGCTTTGTACAACGGTTCTTTTTTACTATATGCCCTTCGAATTCGTTGACGACAATAATGCTCACAGAACGGTGCGGACAACTGTCGTCTACAAAAATATGTCGGCATCATTGAATCTTTTCTATTCTATTTCGAATGAATTATCATAATGCCACAATATGTACATCATAAGTATTTTTCATATTTATACATCGTCAAATTACGTACACTATACTGTTTCGTGCATGCACATGGCTATTGTAATAACAATCACATGTTGTTGTTGTCAAATATAAGAAGTACCATACTAATCACATTGTACCACCCGCTGAACAATCACTAATTAACACCCTTTCCAAGGCTCCATGTAATTTTAATCAACTGTTAATATTCTAAAATTATATGTATGATATTGTGGGTTCGAATCACAATGTGCTGCGTGACACTCCGCTTCCATGCTGTGTTGCTTAATCGATTGTTCTAATTGCAACCTAGACATTACCGCGGTAAATCAATAAACACACGGTGTGTCATATGATCTATTTTTAGAATAATTGCTTATAGATTAAGTTTAAAATTAAATTTTTTCCTGACATCCTGACATGTTTCTTTATTTATATTCACTTGGAATCACGTGTGTCAGATTAGGTCATTGTGACAACATGCATTACGGATAAGTTCAAGGTTCCAACTCGAATAGGGAATTATTTGTTATTCTGTGAAATTTTAAATCGTTAAATATTTATCATGTGAGTTTTTTCTGTGAAGCCATCGGACGATCTAGATTTATGGTCTTTACCGTGATTTCATCACTGAAATGCTATTTAGTATAATTATTTATTATTGACGATTTTTGCATCGTCCATACTGAACCTGATTTTGTTCCTTGAAAGCAAGACAAAAATAGCAAAAACGTAATTTCAGCTGAAAAAGAGAGGGAGATTGGCTCTTTTAGTCCAATCGATGTCATCACGAATTTGTCTTTCATACCAGGAATCTATGCGCATAAAAGTGGTCGTTTGCCTATTCATATATTCATTCAAAATGAGATTTGTGATTTTCTACATGTGTTATTTTCGTCATAGCATATAATTCTCCACAAATAACAGCAATTGATAAAATAAAACATTTGCCGCATTAAACACTCGATCAGACCATGAACGCCCTCAGTTCATATACGTAGTTCATTGGGATGCGACCACTTTCAGCTTGAGTAAATTGTATTTAGACGTCAAACATTTCAAATCATAGGGATGGCTGAAAGAGTGTGACCTGTGCAATTGTTTTGCGGTGTCTTGTCTATACATTTAAATTTTCTTTAATGTGCAAACATTTTTTTCTGCAATACCTGGCATAATTTTTCTTATTGGTGCCGAGTTTGCATTTTTTAAACAAACATTCTAACCATCCCAGTGATTTTAGATCGACCTCTTATTCTCATTATCCGAATGGAAAACATTGTCACGCCGTTACACCATAAGTACTTTCAGCACCCGGTGTTTTACACTTTTACAGCTGAAAATACCACGCTCTCTGAAACACACAGCACTGTGCATTTCATACGCAGTCTCAATGATTCTCTTCATAAACCAATTTAACATAATGCCTTCGGCGTGTCATTGTTATTCAAATGAAAATGCATTAATAAAAAATAAGGTCACTCACTCACTCTAACACAATGCAATATTGCGATGTTGATATTGTAATTTTTAGATATTCCCCCGTTCTCCTGTAATGCTATTTACGACCCAACAGCCTTGTAACACCGTTGTGTGTTTTATTAACCGGGAGCAATTTACGCTAACCATCGTTTGAAACCTGATACGTCGCTTTTTTTTTTTTTTTTTTTTTCGAACGAGTCCTGATAATCCGCCATTTTGAACTACGTCACTAAGGAGTTTATGATCGATGCAAACGCCGTAAACAACGCAGGTTAAAAATACGGTAAGCATACATTTCCTTTACTTGTTTTAAAAAAATAATCGGCGACTTAATATGACGTCAGTGATGATGTGGGTTACCGTCCGAAGATCCTTATCATTTCGAAAGGTCGACCTTGCGTTGACTCGAATTGTTTTGTTAATTAACATGATTCACGTGTGTGATATTGCATAACGATAGTCATCATCTTTTTACCGTTAAGCCCCCCACTCCCCCCCGGTTTCAAGTGAGGGACCCTTAATTGAAATACCGTTTTACTAATAAACCAACGGTGTGTGCGTAGGGAATCTAAATGTATACGTAGAGTACAATTTACTAATTACATTCCCAATCCTTCGGATCCTTGTACAATCACCCAGTCATGCGCTGATGGAAAACAGGAACGTCAAATACATAGAGTCATTAATTAATTATGTGGATTTATCGGTCGCCCTGAACCAGTTCTTCTCATAGTCCGTTCTAATTTGTGTTTGTTTAGATTCCATTTATGATGACTTCGATATTTTGTACATTATTTCGCTTTATATTTATTTATATACTGTCTTTGATATGTACATGCGATGTGGCAAGACACTCAATATGGCGACTTTGCTTCCAGGTTCGGCCTGGGTTCAATCTGATTAAAATTCGATGTAGGTATATCCTCAATTCATTTATTTATTTTTAAATTATATATCTTTTTTCCTTTATATATATTTATTACATATTTTTTGTTTATTTTTTACTTGCCATTTGTTCGGGTTTTTTTATTACAATATAAAACTAAAAAATTGAGCCTATATTTACATCGGATTTTAATCAAACTGGGTTTACGTCCGTGACGTTAATACGGATAACCACGGCAATTGAAATCGCATATATACGAAGAGAGTTATGAAACCAGTCATTTACTGGGCAATGCGTAGGTTCTTGATCAACATTAGAAAATATCCGGTTTTAAGTAAAATAAAGTAAGCAATTAGTAAGAATTAATATTAATACACCTCAGACGTTCTATATTTTTTACATTTTCAGGTAAGAACTGGGTAATATATTGCATCGATTTCACGACATCGGTGTTTCATGACTTGTGTTATATGTAAAGCAGTGCAGCGATGAAAAAAAATAAGGATTACTAGTACTTATTGAATTATTTGCATTTTAAGCCTTCGAGTTACTATGGAGATATAACACTAGTCAATATATATGCCGTGATCGACAAAATAGTCTTGCATTTTTACAATAAACCATGTGAAAAAACATACTCAAAAAATGAAACCTGTGTGTGAAAAAAATAAAGCGGTTAACGTTACTAGATCCCACAACCCCACGACCGGTCGTCAGTGACAAAAGTTGGGGAAAAACTCAGTGGTGAGATAATATTATATATGACGAGCGTGCGACCAGTCGTAAAAACATTCTATAATAAACAAAAACTAGGCCCAGAAAGAAATCTCGGGGAAACGAAAACTGTCGCGCTCACAAGAGGTACTGGAGAAAATACATTTTGTATTTTAGGGTCCCACATATATCCATTTTCTCTTATCTACAGGTTCAATACAAGCCTTCTTCACGTGAATACAGAATACTACTACACTCTAGTCGCTACCATGGCTGAGCAGGATAACATATTTGTGGACATAGATGTTTGCAACGAACATTTAAAAAGAGACGGGATTGAGATGAAGCGACGGACGTATAATCCATCTTACAACGTATATGCCCAGGTACGTCGGTTGAAGTCAGGTAGTCAATACAAAAGGATAATTGGGTGGCATAGTAATATGCGGAACATATTGCGGAACAGAAGCCGGTACTTCGGTAGTTATGTTCTAGATTTGTTTCCACAAAAGTGAGAGTAAAATTCCGACAATGTACAATGTGTTAATTCTACTCACCCCACATAAACACAACTATTTTTAAATCATCGAAATTGTACCAATATTTGAAGACTTTCTTAGGCAAAATTTGATTGTAGGATTTATTTTCGAATGTGATCTCATTTGTTTCGAAGAACTTTCTGCGAGGAATGAGAAGTTTCGTAATGTTTTATTGAATATGATACCAAAATAATAAAGCTTCTGATTTGAGTAGAATTTCATGCATAAAATCAACAAATGTGTTTAAAAATAACGGACTGACACATTTGAAGTGAGCACTCTGTTTGGTCACCTTTCCAAATAATGCCCTTATCGGTGTAGTTAAACGGGTCGCTACGTCCGCAATGGTTTTCGATAATCGACAGAAATATTACCATTTTTTTTTCAAAATGAACTTTCAGTCGGCATTATTATGAGTTACTGTCATTGCACGATGCGAGTATTTGTTATTGTTACCCGGACTGGTTTACTCTACGAACTGTTGAAACACGCATAAAATGATTACGTACAACGATAATATTGTGACCTTTACCTACCATATCACTCAGTGATCTTTCACGTGAAACACCACAACTGTAAACAACGTGCATACACCATAGTCATGTGATAATATTATCGTTTGAAAAAAAAATTACACAACTTTTAAAAAAATATTAAAATTGTTGATACACACCTCTATAGCGACACTAGGCGTAAAATGGTCCTGCTTCACAAGCGTTTACATTATATGGGGAGTTTAATTGTAGCATGAGACCTGTACATTGTCTAGGAGAGTTTAATTGTGTAATTTACAGCAAGTCTCAGAAGTATTGGGGCAGCCAATTTGCAAACTCGCTAGCGAATTGGCTAACTGCTTTGGTTTTGACTAAACGGTTGGCTTTCGAATCCCGCTGGCGTCGTCTTGCGGTCACGCCAACTTAAGACGAATCTATGTAACAGTAGGGGACGATCCTCATACTTTATGAGCTAATCAGCGACGGTTTGAAATATACCAGGGAAAGTGTTCTATGCTCTTCGTGTCCACACAAAAACGACGAATGAGGTCATATACCAAATATTGGTGGATTAATCGCATTTATAATATTATCACGCCAGCTGACTGTGGCCATTTTCGGGCTCAAATCATTCAGGGGAATCCAGACATGTACCATCCTGAAGTTGCGTAAAAACATTCTATGTCCCTTAATGCAATATAGACTCGCCAAGAGTGGACGCGGTCACAAAACGGCGCCAGCGAGATTCGAAAGCCAACCGTTTAGTCAAAACCCAAGCAGTTAGCCAACTCGCTAGCGAGTTTGCAAATTGGCTGCCCCAATACATCTGAGACTTGCTGTAATTGTAGTGTGAGATATGCGCATCTAATCTACGGGGAGTTTATTTGTAATGTCAGTCCTGTACATTGTCGTCTTTGGGGAATTTGATTGTAGTGTGAGTCCTGTATGATGTTATCTATGGGGAATTTAATTGTAGTGTGAGTCTTGTATGATGTTATCTATGGGGAATTTTATTGTAGTGTGAGATATGCGCATCTCATCTACAGGGAGTTTATTTGTAATGTCAGTGCTGTACATTATCGTCTTTGGGGAATTTGATTGTAGTGTGAGTCCTGTATGATGTTATCAATGGGGAATTTAATTGTAGTGCGAGTCCTGTATGATGTTATCTATGGGGAATTTAATCGTAGTGTGAGATATGCGCATCTCATCTACGGGGAGTTTATTTGTAATGTCAGTGCTGTACATTGTCGTCTTTGGGGAATTTGATTGTAGTGAGAGTCCTGTATGATGTTATCTATTGGGAATTTAATTGTAGTGCGAGTTCTGTATGATGTTATCTATGGGAAATTTAATTGTAGTGTGAGATATGCGCATCTCATCTACGGGGAGTTTATTTGTAATGTCAGTGCTGTACATTGTCGTCTTTGGGGAATTTGATTGTAGTGTGAGTCCTGTATGATGTTATCAATGGGGAATTTAATTGTAGTGTGAGATATGCGCATCTAATCTACGGGGAGTTTATTTGTAATGTCAGTCCTGTACATTGTCGTCTATGGGGAATTTAATTGTAGTGTGAGTCCTGTATGATGTTATCTATGGGGAATTTAATTGTAGTGTGAGTCCTGTATGATGTTATCTATGGGGAATTTAATTGTAGTGTGAGTCTTGTATGATGTTATCTATGGGGAATTTTATTGTAGTATGAGATATGCGCATCTCATCTGCAGGGAGTTTATTTGTAATGTCAGTGCTGTACATTATCGTCTTTGGGGAATTTGATTGTAGTGTGAGTCCTGTATGATATTATCAATGGGGAATTTAATTGTAGTGTTAGTCCTGTATGATGTTATCTATGGGGAATTTTATTGTAGTGTGAGTCCTGTATGATGTTATCTATGGGGAATTTTATTGTAGTGTGAGATATGCGCATCTCATCTACAGGGAGTTTATTTGTAATGTCAGTGCTGTACATTGTCGTCTTTGTGGAATTTGATTGTAGTGTGAGTCCTGTATGATGTTATCTATGGGGAATTTAATTGTAGTGTGAGTCCTGTATGATGTTATCTATGGGGAATTTTATTGTAGTGTGAGATATGCGCATCTCATCTACGGGGAGTTTATTTGTAATGTCAGTGCTGTACATTGTCGTCTTTGGGGAATTTGATTGTAGTCTGAGTCCTGTATGATGTTATCTATGGGGAATTTAATTGTAGTGTGAGTCCTGTATGATGTTATCTATGGGGAATTTAATTGTAGTGTGAGATATGCGCATCTCATCTACGGGGAGTTTATTTGTAATGTCAGTCCTGTACATTGTCGTCTATGGGGAATTTAATTGTAGTGTGAGTCCTGTATGATGTTATCTATGGGGAATTTAATTGTAGTGTGAGTCCTGTCTGATGTTATCTATGGGGAATTTTATTGTAGTGTGAGTCCTGTATGATGTTATCTATGAGGAATTTTATTGTAGTGTGAGATATGCGCATCTCATCTACGGGGAGTTTATTTGTAATGTCAGTGCTGTACATTGTCGTCTTTGGGGAATTTGATTGTAGTGTGAGTCCTGTATGATGTTATCTGTGGGGAATTTAATTGTAGTGTGAGTCCTGTATGATGTTATCTATGGGGAATTTTATTGTAGTGTGAGTCCTGTATGATGTTATCTATGAGGAATTTTATTGTAGTGTGAGATATGCGCATCTCATCTACGGGGAGTTTATTTGTAATGTCAGTGCTGTACATTGTCGTCTTTGGGGAATTTGATTGTAGTGTGAGTCCTGTATGATGTCATCTATGGGGAATTGTATTGTAGTGTGAGATATGCGCATCTCATCTACGGGGAGTTTATTTGTAATGTCAGTGCTGTACATTGTCGTCTTTGGGGAATTTGATTGTAGTGTGAGTCCTGTATGATGTTATCTATGGGGAATTTAATTGTAGTGTGAGTCCTGTATGATGTTATCTATGGGGAATTTTATTGTAGTGTGAGATATGCGCATCTCATCTACGGGGAGTTTATTTGTAATGTCAGTGCTGTACATTGTCGTCTTTGGGGAATTTGATTGTAGTGTGAGTCCTGTATGATGTTATCTATAGGGGATTTAATTGTAGTGTGAGACATGCGCATCTCATCTACGGGGAGTTTATTTGTAATGTCAGTCATTTATATTGTCGTCTATGGGAATTTGATTGTAGTGTGAGTCATGTATATTGTTATCGTTGGAGTGTTTAATTGTAGTGTGAGACCTACACATTGTCTATGGGAGTTTAATTGCATCAAGTATATTGTCGTTTATGGGTTTTTTTTTTTATTGTAATGTGAGTCCCGTACATTGTTAACGATGGGGAATGTATAGTTGTAGTGTGAGAAATGCATTTTTGTCTACTGGGAGTTTATTTGTAGTGTGAGAACTACAGATTCAGAACTCATGCAGTAGACCTTCACACTCAACACAAGATCACTGTATACCAACAGGAAGTTAACCTCCAAGACGAACAGGAAGCTCGTGTAAGAGAACTGGAAAATGACAGCGCAGAGGGCAGTAATTTCCAGGATGTCGTCATTGCGTCGCTACATACAAAAAGGTACATGTTGGTTGCTGGTTGTGTGGAGCAATCACAATAAGCTTCAATGCATTAAAACACTTATCGAACACCAGTTTGTGTGCGATACTATATATACAAAAAAGTTTCGGTTGAGTAGGAATTACAATTAAATCGAACTCCGTGACAGTATTACATCGTTTATGAAACATCGGGTTTTATACCCCGATTTACAGTACGTGTTATTGCACAGACATCCATTATCGAATTGATCGTCATTTTCTCTTAGCCTCTAACGTTGTTTTTTTTGACAATTTTGCAGCAGTGACGTGCCTCATAAGCAAGCACTTCGACAGGCGTCTAGTGGTATTTCAAGCGCACACAGCAACGAAAGCGACAAGCAGGACAGTGACAAGGGTAAACTTGTTTTTAAACTTAATTTTTTTGTGGGGATGAAATCACGTGATTCAATGACGCTATATTTCCTAGAAATATTCGTGAGATGTGTACATTATTCACGTGACCCCCACCAATACTAATTTTAAGCAAATTCTTTGACGTCATAGTCTCATCACATGATATCGCGAGATATGATAACTATGGGAGATGATCAGTTGATACCTCACATCATGTGACCCCCATGAGGTGAATTGGTATCACCCCGCATCCACCTTATTTAGAAAACAACTTTTTGCACGTTTGCATATTTATATATTGCTTTATTTAATAAACCACCAAGCCTAAGATTTGTGTGGAATTTTAGCGGAAACCAACTGGGTTTGTTGAAATTTCCGACTGAATTTTTTTGAGTAACGACAATTTGATTTTAAAAACTACACAACTTTGTCTTTTTATTTTATTTTTTAAATAGTGGATAGTTGGCTCTCCATATTTCATGTAGTTATTCCGTGTATCGACAAGATGTTCCTTACAATAAAGCTCTACCGTCGTTGTTACGCATCGTGTTCGATATGGGTTCATTTCCACATACAATCACGTGTAAAATAACGTTGTTCACGCCAAATTTCGAACGCGGCTGCGGCGCTTGAATTTGAGTTCGTTGTGCTGTAACTTTAAAGCGGGATGGTCGTCACCTGCGCACGCGCGGGAGTCCCAAGCGACGATAACAACACACGCTAAAAACGCAAAAGCTCTTGAGTAGACGTTTGTTTGTAAATAATGACACGCTTTGTCCATCTGACGCATGTGCAGGTGACGACTCCCCCGCTTTAATATATTCCGTTTGTTTACAGATACTGTGAGTATCGAAGGAGCCGAGGGAAAGAAAAGAGAATACACAGAAGAGGAGCGCCTAATGCTCGAAAAGGTATCGTGACACAGTCTGTGGCAATGAACAATCCAAGACAGCGCGAGTAACAAAGATGCGACAAATAATTTACACTAAGACAAATTATGTGTTATGAGTCGAATCACAAACGACACGGATTAGTAAATGACGTACAATGACGTGCACAATAGTTAGTAAAAAAAACAATATGAATCAATAAGATTGTTAAGCCTTAATGCGGGGGAGTCATCACCTGCGCATGCGTTAAATGGCCATAGCGTGTCATTGTTTACAAACAAGCGTCTACCGCGCGTGCGCAGGTGGCGACCCTCCCGCTTTAAGTCCCAATCTCCATTATTGTCATTATATAATGATATTTACTACATCATTGTTGTTTTTTTCAAATTTGTTTTCAAGATTTGTAATCAATAGGAAATAATGTTCATTTGATCCAAAATTATCAAAATGATTATCAAGACAAAGATAAAAATAGACAAACGGTTGAACCAACATTTTGGTGGGAAAAAATGATGGCGTTCAAAAGGTGACTGGTGAATCCGATCAAGTTGCTGTACTATGACATTACCCATCATGCAATTTAACCGCTCAGCGACAATTTAATTATGGTGAACAGATCAATTTTTAACTTTCAACTGTATATTTATATTATTATTTTTTATTTTTTGAAAAAGAAAAAAAAATTATATATTGTAAATATATTTGTGAAAGACCTAGCTACGCAAAATCTTAAAACGTGAAGCGTAGAATATTACTCAATAGAACTACAATTACATTTGATCACATCCAAATGCAGCATGGGAGTTGACGTCAGGTTGGCTCATTTAAATATCCGATAGTGACTTTGTTACTTTTATTGTCTCTTTCAGTTGCGCAAAGTAGTGGAGCTCTGCACTCGACCGGAACCAATCAAACGCCCAACATCGAAAGAAATTCTAGAAATGCTAAAAATATAACTTCTCAAAGTCACGTGACAGTGACGTCAGGTGTACTACGTGCTTATGTTAGTGTTTCAATGTTCAAAACTCGTAGCACGTCATTCAACGCAGACACAATGGGCTGCATTGTAATTGCTTCACTGACGTCAGCGGGTGTATTTCATTGTGACCTCAGCTGAATGCGTAGTTTAGTTAGTAATTATAACCTTCTTAACGCATTTCACGTTTTCGGATATAGAACTTATCGACCTGTAAATATCAGTTCATTCCATCGGATACAAACACAACGGGCGGCATTAAACTATCTGACAACGTCATGCAACTACCGTGTAACGGAACCACTGATTGTATATCTATTAGCCTCTCTGAAAAGTATTCAAGATTTGTGCGGATATTTCGTTGACGCCACAAACATGCTCTCGTACATACTTTTTATTTTATTTTCATAATAACCACGACTTCTCCTGGCTCCCTTCGCCCCTGGCGATGCAAGGCAAGTAATTGCATCTGTTCTTTGGATCCACAATCCCTGTCACTTCAATTTGTATACCACGCTGACTTTCAATCATTAGCAAGTATTATAAGTTGTAAAATTGTTACAACAATGTAATATTAAAGTTATACGTACATGCTTATTGTAGCTAAGAGGCAACATTTTCAAATAATAGTATTTCATTTGTCACCATATTATTTCGATATATTCAAAGAAACGTGGACTTATATTAGTGTAATATCGAATGGATACATGTATATTTAACGAGTAACCCTGTGATCATGCCGACTAGGTTCACTCTCGCCCACACAGCTTTTTGAAAAGTCAAACTTGCATCGAAATACAACCAAAACCACAACATCGTGTTCATGTTATGTACGTTGTGAAACTGGGGACGCATGTACGCTCTGTCTACGATTATCTGTGCACGGCGTCAATCGCAGTTAATGTTCAACCAGTGAAAAATGGTCATGCTATGTTGTCCTCGGTTGTATATGCTATGTGAATTTATGTGTGTCATTGTACTGTGCAATATCGTAACAAAACGAATAAAAAGAATGATTTTTACCGTACTTTTACATTATGCCTTTCTCAAGAGATAATATTAGTCCCTGTTTTGGCTTGAGTACAACACATTCGTCCTATGATTAGAAAAATGAGAGGTTCCTTGTATGAAAACGCATGGAAGGAATAGAAGGAAGGGAAGGAACGATAATTCTTGATATGGCCATTATTATTTCAAAAGGGAAAAACGAGCGGAGTATGGAGTGAAACTGTGTGTCAAAACACGGAATTTCGATCACGTGGCCGCTTTTGTCAATAACACTGATACTGATACTAGTATTAAAAGACATACCACGACTGGCTGACACAGTGTTACATTTATTGAACGAGTGTTTCGTGATTTGTTCCGAACCTTTGGAGTGAAACAATATATAATTTTTACACAACGAGTATAATAAATCAGATAATATAGGAATATGCGAAATCGGCACTCGTTTTTATCCAATATATATCTTGTTATTTTTGCGGCTTTCAAACGCAGTCAACTACAGGAATCGTATTCTCCGTGTATTGAACGATTATTCAAGACATCATATAATTTCCTGTCTCATTTCACATAATTGCCCTTCTTGAACACAATTACTGTTTTCCTTATGCGATCATTATGACTATATAAGGCAACACAACAGAAAGATTTTGCATCGCGTCATGATCGCACACGTCATTTATTCATTACTCAATAAATCATATCAATAATTATTTGTCACTATATTGTAAATACCAATAACAATAAACAATATGGTATTAAATAAAAAAAAAAAATATTAACACCTCGTCACCACATCATTTTTAAATTGTCTCTAGGACGAGAATCACAAACTATTTTACGGCCACATATGGGGTCATCAATATATGCACGGATTCGGGAATGCATTGTTACCATGGAACTTTTTACATGGAACTGCCGCGATATGTTGTATAAATTATAATACATTTCATGGATAAAATCGCTAACAGTATCACTAGTTTTACAGGAACGGGTAGTCCCGACACGGGCCTTGGACAGTTTTTTTCAGCTTTGGTAACGTACGAATACTGACATCATGGTACTCGATGACGTATGAAGTCATTAGCTACATAGTTAAAGCAAAAATTCTCAAGTGTTCGACTTCTACCACGAGTATTTATTGTAGCTTTTTGTTAATTCGATATTTTTGTAGTGAAATTCATCAAAGATAATTTAAAGAGATGACCGATTTACAATGACACAATGTACAATGACAATGGACATGCATTTTTTTTTCAAAATCAGATGACTCCATGCTACGAAACATTTTTTCCAAATCAATGACACGTGTATTCTTTCTTCAATTTCATAACCTTATGGCATTTAAAAAGCTTCCATCACGGTGACATTATCATAACATTCGCGAATACCTTGCCGTGTATAGTTGGGTTTAAGTGTTTGGACATTACAAACGATTTCTAGTATAGTCAGACATTTCTCGTATTACTAGGGCGATACCTGGATATCATAGTAGAGCTGTTAAACACTAATAAAATACTTCGTGTCATTGCAAATATTGGTAGTACTAACACTGTTATTTTTGTCTGCAGTCAATCTCCCTCTCTTAATGTTACTTGCAAAATAGATTCATTTTGATAACCGGACACTTACGAAATGAACATTTGGTTTGATATTCAGTATAAAGGGAAGGTCGCTTGTTTCAACAGGCGCCTGCTGGTCGACTGCCGTTCATGCTGTCCAATCTAGCGAACAGACTTGCCAATCTTCTTATCGCGTCAGATAAATATTATATAAAGGCGTACACAGTTGAATTTACTTTCACAATTGGGGGGCAACATGTATACTGATGTCGTCGCCATGACAACAGTTAAACAAAATATGACAACGGGTTTAACTTGAAGCAGGCATATTTATATCGCCTCGAATACTAGTTCCCGGGCCACCTTCATTTTCCAAGGTCATATGTACTTTTCATTATTATATACATCGTCACATTACGTACTATATTTCACGGTTACTGCGTTAACTTGGTGAGGCGCTTTTCTTGGCTTAAAACACACATTGTAATATAACTGAGAGTGAATGTGTCGAGTGAGTTGATCGACCATCAATTGGTGTACTCAACCTTGTTACAATTGTGACGTCATCAGTTAAATCGCCGCACTGCCCATGTGACTAATTAAAGAACATACTACGCATTGCATCTAACCATGGCTTATAACGGCAATATAATATATGCGTATTTAAATATGCACTGTATTTGTCATAGCAACAAATAGTCGTCATAACTGCCTACATGAGTCATTGGATGAACTAGTTAATAACTTCATTGTGTTGTCCGAACCTACGGGTGATTCCGTTCATGCCCGGGGCTCGGGCATTCTTCTTCTTGTCACTCACAATTTTTCGCCTTTGATTAAACTGGTTGAAACTGGAAATTCGTCCATTTTCGTATTTCGCAAGTGGTCATACGACTTATTGTCAAATAATGTTTGGTCCAATACAAAACGATTGTCTATCAGTGCAGACGATATTTCGGTAATGGTTTGCAAATCAATAATTGATTAGATCACTAAGAAACCATTGAACATCCTGCAATGGATGAGATATTGACACAACGAAATCGGAAATCGGAAATCGCGCTATTAAAATGTATATGTACTATGCATCAACAACTGAGATATCATATCCTGCGGTATTTGCGATATTCGATCAACACCATGCGATATCCTTTGAACCCGTCCGCCTTCAAAATTGCAAAAATAACACACAGATTCCAATCCAATCACTACGTTGCCATAACTCCACGATTATTAAAAATTCGTTAGTTTAAGATATATATATATATATATAACAGTAATCCTCACATCAAATTGGCATATTCCAGACAATAACGAAGACGCGTCCTAAAGTATGCGCATCTATCTTCGTGGTTACGCGCTCAAAAACATGCCAACAATGCTTCTCGTAATGGATGGATAATATTAAATTACAAGACGGTGTATGGTCATTTCGTCGCTTCCTGTTCGACGCGGTACCCATATATCGAATACACAACATGTGTAAAATATATTGTTTGTTAATACGCAAAATAAGTTCATTATATGTAATAGAGTCAGACAGTCCTGCTTTGTTTAAGGAACAAACTCAGTATTAACCTTGGTTGTGTTATAACTAATACCTATGTAACTCAGCTGTGTCTTTGCTGATGACTGGGTTCTTATCTCGCAGTTCTCAATCACCTTGTCATACACATACTGGCGCCCATGACACAGTGTTTAACTTGGAGAAATGTGTTTGTAGCCTCCTGAAAGATTGGTCTTATTACCCATGCATAACTTGACGACTCTTCATTAAATTTTGATAATGTCGGACATTTTTGGGGTCTACGTTATCTACAGATGGTACAGATAGTTTGAGTATAAAAGAACTGATGACATATGTAGAAGCTTACTAGAGGAAATCAAACGTTTCGCAGATTTAGTAACTCTCACTGGAAGTGAAACGTGGTCTGTTTCGCAGTTCTCCGATGTATATTGTGTTTTATGCAGTACTGGTGTAGCTTATAATAATATGTTCAGATGTATAATATCAGATGCTTGTCGAGTGCTGGATACGTGTGGTGTACCATATTGCCAGTTTTGTTGTTTAGCTTAAAATGTTATGCTAATATTTGTTTGACTCTGCGCTTTTGATCAAAGTGTCTTGCAAGCCTGAGCATAACAGTTTTCTCGATGATTTTACGTGTGTTTTTAATTTTTTTATGGGATTTGGTTCCTAAAATCAAGATAAAAATACACATATTGGGACAATTCACGCGTAACACTGAAGACCGGTGGCTTGACCCGGTATTAATAAAGTCTCTTGGCGTTCCTCTGATCATAATGGTAAGAACGTGGTATGACTGTGGTGTAAATTTAGGTAATTAACTGTATGGGTGTTCTTGTAATAAACATTATTATACATCTGTCGCCGTAACGCCATAAGTTACATCGTACCAAATATGGAATGATTACGCGTGTAACCGTAATAATAAAAACAGACATGGCTGCCACCAGAGTTTGACCTGACTCCACACAAAGAAGTTCGCTGATTGTGTTCTAAACATTTGGGATTTCGGCATTCCCATGGTGTATCATTGAAAGAAAAAGATGTATAATAATAATAAGGTTATTACGAGGACACCTCAAAGTATGCTCTCAGACAGTACGCCGTGCATCGACCTCCGTTGCGCGTCGGTCAATATTCCAGCTGTACTGTCTTCGTGCATACTTTGAGGTATCCTTGTGGAATAAACAATATAACGGCATGATTCTCTGCAATACACAATATCACAGCATGGTTTCCCTGTAATACACACTATCACAGCATGGCTTCTCTGCAATACACTATATAACAGGGTCAGTTCCATAAAATGCACGATATCACATAAAAACACACAGATTCCCTGCAATATGCATTATTATGCTTGTGATATTTTGTATGACAGGACACCCACGCCGTGATATTCTATATTTTATAAATCAATATAGACATTACATTCCCACTTGACAAATCTGAAAGTGTGTTTTAATCTATTAAAACATATTAACAACCAATTATGATTGAACATAATTTGTAAAAACATAAATGTATATATATTATGCGGATATTGAATGTATATATTGTGAGAACTATTAAAAGATTAAATGCAATTGTCAATTAATAAAAAGTTGTAAACAGATTCAATAAAGATAATATTCATACTAAGATTGTCACATATTACCCAGGATCAAGTTTACCTCCAACTCCTAAGCTTATCATCTAGTGACCGAAGTATGCGTATGTATTGATTTAAATCTCCTCATACTAGGGTTTCATTTAATGTTATGCTTTGTGAACAACTTATAACGAAGATCCATAAATATTGTACAATCATTCGATGTGAAACTGAATTACAAATGTGAATAGAGAAAAGTTGTTTTTTGAGATTGCTTCTGCAATCCTTATCATCTAATTGTACCATATCTGCCTACTCAATTCTGATTGACAGAGTTTACCAACTCCCATTAATGTAACACTTCTCAGCATTTCGGAACGAGTGAGACTGTATTATTGGGGATGTGACGAGAAATAAAAACGTGGCTATCTCTGTTTTTACCCCAAGGCATTACAAACTATCGATTCCATGCTGTGTCTGAAATTGTGTGGACGACTAAGATATTGAGAGGGACACAATGTATTTTGTTACATTGCTTTATGTTTTATTGCTGTAGATGTATATATCCAATTTCGGAAATTCCAATTTAAATAATTCAGAAATTCTAGTTAATAGCTAAGGAAATTACAAGATATAACTGGAAGCTGAATGAAAACGCAGTTAACACAGTCTTAGTCTTAGTTTCATGAATAGCAACGATTGAGGATCGTAAAAATGTTTCACGACTGTTGAAGATTCAAGTATTGGTTGAGAACCATACGACTATTAAAGATACAATTCAAGTTTATCTTTCTTTGAATTTTATAACAGAAATGGTTTTAGATACAAATATTTACATTATAAATTTCGTGTGTTATCTCATACATGAAACCAAGGGAGATTCCGAAGAGAAACTCACGATTTTAGGCGATTAGCTCGAAATCCCAGCTTGTATTACCAACAAACATGTAAAACATACCCTTGAGTAAAGGTTATGAAACTGACCCAGTGAAACCACACTACGCTGTTTCATATCCTTCTTTTACGGGGTCTGTATGGTTGTACACAATTTAATAAGTCAACATTATTTATTATACCGTTAGACCTGTCTCCACGACCACTCTGTACATACAGACTAATATCAATATTGTTAAACCAAAGACATGTTATATTTTTCAAAAATGTTTCTTCTATAATGTATAAATAATATTGGAATCAGCCCTGATCACCTCATGTAAACATCTATTTTAAATAACGCATGTGTCGCAATTATTCTACATTGAAATTTAGATCTGAGATACCAGGTATCGATCGGCTAGCATGCAGTTTCAAGTTTCAGAAAATTAAGATTCTATTTTACGTAACTATATGGACATACAAAGGTATATCGAAGTTATATCCGAGTTGTGATATTTGTATCAGTGTATAGGTATGGTATATAAACATATATCGGTACAGTGCAGCTAAGTTAAATGAGAATACATAATTGAAGTGCTTATAATATAAGTGATTAATAAAATACATAAAAATGAACAATGAACAGCACAGTGTATGGTAGAATAAATAGAATTTCAATGTATCGCAATTGATCGTAATAACCCGATCACAATGTGTCAGTATTTACGCATTGTTATAGTCTTCTTTGAAATTGTATGTTTTCTTATCCTCCAGTATTCATGCGAAAATGTCACTAATATATATATATAATAAATTAAGTTCAAGTGACCTGCTCATGGAGCTTTAATTTCGGAATATTCCGATATCTGTCCACATGGACGACACAAGCATTCGATAGCGGACTTGGCGTATACATTTTTAAACGGTTTGTCAAGACGTGGGCATCGCAATCTCACACCAACAAACCGCTCTTCTATGGCTTCGCAGCATTTGCAGGAGCGTTGCATCTGGAAAGGATCTTCGGCCGAAATTAAAGAGTACGACGAACACGTTCCTCGGCAACCGTAGGCGGACCGCAATACTGGTATACATCCTGGGTGGGATAGGTGGTATCTAACCATACGCTTGTTACAGCCAGATGTTGCCACGGTAACAACAATAAAACTCAGTAAACAATACAACTTCCAACTAACTTTCCTCATGGTGATTGATTATATAACTCTAAGATAAAATAAAAATAATTTTCATTCATAACTTAGCTACAAAACATAAATTCATAAACATACTAATAACTAATTGAGCAATATCATGTGGTTAAACTGGGACTCAAAGCTTAATAGCAAAATGATATGAATAAACTACTATATACATATATTAAATGCTCGTGGTATATGAAAACGTCACAAACACACACTCATTTTTACATACGTCTTTACGTCCGCCGTTAAAATAAATATAGCTATATATACATATACCTTTGAATATACTTACCTATTATGTAGTACTGGTATTTACAGTGACCGTAAACTGATAAGATGATGTCCTCTCCGTTTCAATCCTACAATATATGTACAACGTATCTTTCGCACTTCTGGTCTGGAGTCAATTATACCTGAGCCCAAAACAAAGTAGAGTGAGTTCAGAGTGAAAAACGGAATTGACTACAATAGATTAGTAATGTGCTCAGCACTTTTTACACAATAATGCACGTACGTCATTGCATGCAAATAGTTCTGGTGGTTTATATTAATATTATACGCACAGTGTAAAGCCAAAGCGAAATCAATGTTTCACGTTACCAATAGCACTCACAGTGTTGGTAAGAGGAATAGGAATCAATACAGAAAATCAACGGATATTGCGTTATTATGACATGTGTGGGTGTCACATTAAATTATTTAATTAATTCCTAGTAGTATGATTATATGCATTCGTGTGCATTGAGTCGATCCAGTAACAAATACGTCAAAAGGCGGACAAGTTCGTTTCCTGTGCAGGATCTTGCCTGTCCGTTCTTGTAAAGATTTATTTTTTAACACAACACAGATCGGAAATTGGAAATGCATCTTCCAAGTACAAACTCTACATATTAAACAGTATCTCTTTTAGTATCTCTATAACTTTCAGAACAGTATTGCGTTGTGGTGGAAAAAGTAAGATTTTTTAAATTATTTTTGTCGCATCTGATGTAACGTCAAAACTGGCTTGTGAAGCAAAACACTAGCAGTAATCGATAATAACACACTAATCAATAACAGATCGCGCAATCTGAGTGTTGTAGTGATTTGTTATTCACATTCACGCCAGTAATATAATATGCAAACACAAACATCAAAAGAACGTATCAAAAAGGTATTCATTAATTCACGAACACATGAAGCTATCGTTGTAACAATTAATTTGGCGAAGAGGTTGTTAGTATGTAATATCCAATTTATCTGTTTCACAAAATGGCTGCCAAAATCGTTAGGAGCGTAAGAGCTGAGGAGCTCCGGAATATAGATTCATTTTCTATCGTAATCACGTCCACTATTCCAAATACCCTAGATTTTATTGCCTGAGGAGGAGTAGACGCTAGTCAGTGTATGGATCGCTATTCGAAGGAAAAAAAGTCCCGCGGCTCTCTTGATTTCAACGAAATCTCGGCGCCCAATAACGAATAAGGTAACATTAGAAGTTTCGATTTTTTTGTTTTTAAATATTTCAGCCGAACATAGAATTAGCAAAGTCAAAATGAACTTCTATTCGAATTAAAAAACAAAAAAATATGTTTTAGTATGCATGAAAAAGAATGTTTTATTTCACTCAATACAAGGGTTGCCTCATCTGTGTTGCCAGGCAACATATGTGTTGAACTTCATAATGCCCATCCATGCCATGTATCAAAATTCAGTATTATCCCGTCAAAGTCGGAGTATTACAACTATGTTCTACTGATTTGGTGATTGAATCATACGTTCAGTAATGCAATAACGGTCTCATTAACAACACTGTCGTAAATAAGGTTACGATAGCAACGAAAAATTAACCATGGTTAATCTTGTGAAGTTACATATATCTGATTATATGACTTACATACATAGTACATAGCTTTAGCTCTTCACCAATTTGAACATTTTGGCGATTCATACAAAGTTTTAGCTTATCACACTTTGGAACATTTTGGTGTTAATACAAAGTTTTAGCTCACCACACTTTGGAACATTTTGGTTGTTAATACAAAGTTTTAGCTCATCACACTTTGGAACATTTTGGTGTTAATACAAAGTTTTAGCTTATCACACTTTGGAACATTTTGGTGTTTATACAAAGTTTTAGCTCACCACACTTTGGAACATTTTGGTTGTTAATACAAAGTTTTAGCTCATCACACTTTGGAACATTTTGGTGTTAATACAAAGTTTTAGCTCACCACACTTTGGAACATTTTGGTTGTTAATACAAAGTTTTAGCTCACCACACTTTGGAACATTTTGGTTGTTAATACAAAGTTTTAGCTCACCACACTTTGGAACATTTTGGTGTTAATACAAAGTTTTAGCTCATAACACTTTGGAACATTTTGGTGTTAATACAAAGTTTTAGCTCACCACACTTTGGAACATTTTGGTTGTTAATACAAAGTTTTAGCTTATCACACTTTGGAACATTTTGGTGTTAATACAAAGTTTTAGCTTATCACACTTTGGAACATTTTGGTTGTTAATACAAAGTTTTAGCTCATCACACTTTGGAACATTTTGGTGTTAATACAAAGTTTTAGCTTATCACACTTTGGAACATTTTGGTGTTTAATACAAAGTTTTAGCTCACCACACTTTGGAACATTTTGGTGTTAATACAAAGTTTTAGCTTATCACCATTTTGAACATTTTGGTTGTTAATACAAAGTTTTAGCTCACCACACTTTGGAACATTTTGGTGGTTCATACAAAGTTTTAGCTTATCACCATTTTGAACATTTTGGTTGTTAATACAAAGTTTTAGCTTATCACACTTTGGAACATTTTGGTGTTCATACAAAGTTTTAGCTCACCACACTTTGGAACATTTTGGTGTTAATACAAAGTTTTAGCTTATCACCATTTTGAACATTTTGGTTGTTAATACAAAGTTTTAGCTTGTCACCATTTTGAACATTTTGGTGTTAATACAAAGTTTTAGCTCACCACACTTTGGAACATTTTGGTGTTAATACAAAGTTTTAGCTTATCACCATTTTGAACATTTTGGTTGTTAATACAAAGTTTGAGCTTATCACACTTTGGAACATTTTGGTGTTAATACAAAGTTTTAGCTTATCACACTTTGGAACATTTTGGTTGTTAATACAAAGTTTTAGCTCATCACACTTTGGAACATTTTGGTGTTAATACAAAGTTTTAGCTCACCACACTTTGGGACATTTTGGTTGTTAATACGTAGTTTTAGCTTATCACCATTTTGAACATTTTGGTTGTTAATACAAAGTTTTAGCTTATCACACTTTGGAACTTTTGGTTCACACTTTTGGTTGTTAATACATAGTTTTATTTCATCACCATTTTGAACTTTTGGTTGTTAATACAAAGTTTTAGCTCATCACCATTTTGAACATTTTGATTGTTAATTCAAAGTTTTAGCTCATCACCATTTTTAACATTTTGGTTGTTAATTCAAAGTTTTAGCTCAACACAATTTTGAACGTTTTGGCGGTTCATACGAAGTTTTTGCTCATCACACTTTGAAACATTTTGGCGTTTATTACAAAGTTTTAGCTCGTCACCATGTGAACATTATGGCAATACATTCATAGTTTTAGCTCTTCACACCTTGGAACTTTTGGTGGTTCATACAAAGTTTTAGCTCATCGCATATATGAATATACACAGCTTTAAATTATTAAGTCAGAGAATTGCTGCAAAGAGATACTCACCAACAAAACTAACACCTCAGCTGACATTCTAATGTTATGCACACATTGTATTCCACGTCAACACAGAGAATTATTCTGTTGACATGCGCGTACACATTGTAATAAATGTAATGCAACTCAAATGGGAGTTTATTCCATAATTTGAGGACAAAATTCTGAAGGGAAGGATTCCCAAAAGATAAGTCGATCGGCATAGCTTGAAACAGTAAGTGTGATTTGGAGTGAAGGTTACGAGTAGGTTCATACAGGTTGAGAGGTTCACTTAGGTAAGTGCAATGTAGGCAATGAGAGGCAATTTGAAATGTATTCTCGTAGGCATAGAAAACCTGTGCAGGTCATAACGAATAAAAAGACTTGGTAAAATATTCGTGTTTTACTCATAAAGGTGAGTCGCATTGGACACATTGGGGTTGGTTTCACAATAATGCCGAATATGCCACACTATGTACTGTGTATTTACATTCAAATGCATGTGGAAAACTGCTTCAAATATTATTTCTGACTCGAAAACTATTTATCACACTGACAATTGAATGTCATTATTGTAAATGTTTTACAATATTAAGATTCGTGTTAACAATAATATGTGACTACTTTGTCTATTGCTCAGTTAGCAAAATTGTATGATATGAAAAATATCGGCATAGAAACGGGTGAAAAAATGCAACTGGCATTTTTCATGACGTTTCGGAATTATTTGTCTGTGAAATTTCGGTACCCTAATCCCATAAACCTTGTCACTACTAGCTCTCTCTGTTCATCACAAATTCACAAAATAGTCCCATTTATAGTCTGCACTTTCCTTTAAAAGATTGTGACAAAAATAGCCAATCATTTTGAGTAAAAATTTAAAATTTGCCCAAATTGTTTCGTTTCAAAATTAGGGCTTATTTCCCGGAATATTGAAGAATATGAGAAAAAAGAGATATTTAGTCGAGAAAGTCTGGTTGTGAAAAGATTAACCCATATTCATGAAACATGAATAAGATGGGAAATAATCATCAATTCCACCCGAACCTCCTTAAAACATGACTTTTAGTCAAAAATGAAGATCGTTAACAATTATAAATTACAATTCGTGGAAGTAACAGAGGGCGGAAATGATTTTCCCCGGCGGAAGTTATCGCATGTGAGTAATACCCTTTTACTTTCAGAATCAAAAAAATATTTGGACTCCTAAAATCGACCTTTAGTACTGTTGCACAGTGGTATACGTGTCTCCTAATGTTTAGTACGTGCATTATCTTTAGGAATTTCATTCAATTTCTGTGGGTAATATTCTGTGAC